TTGTGTATCCTGATTATGTAACACCATTACATGTATTCTCTTACTAACCAACTATATCTATTACATAACATGTTTGAAGCCAATAAAATGGGTGTTAAGATGATCTGTTGTCCTGAATGTTTGTCTTTCACTACTGAACTGTGTTTTGTGTCTTCTCTTCACCTGAGTTTTATATAATAATTATACAGTATTCTAAAGTGAAGCACATGGTAACTCATTAATAATGAACTAGGAGTTAATAATGACCTAGAACAGTATAATAAAGTGAAACACATGGTAACTCATTACTAATGAACTAGGAGTTAATAATGACCTAGAACAGTATTCTAAAGTGAAACACATGGTAACTCATTACTAATGAACAAAGAGTTAATAATGATCTAGAACAGTATTATAAAGTGAAACACATGGTAACTCATTACTAATGAACTAGGAGTTAATAATGATCTAGAACAGTATTATAAAGTGAAACACATGGTAACTCATTACTAATGAACAAAGAGTTAATAATGATCTAGAACAGTAATATAAAGTGAAACACATGGTAACTCATTACTAATGAACTAGGAGATAATAATGACCTAGAACAGTATTATAAAGTGAAACACATGGTAACTCATTACTAATGAACTAGGAGTTAATAATGACCTAGAACAGTATTCTAAGTGAAACACATGGTAACTCATTACTAATGAACTAGGAGTTAATAATGATCTAGAACAGTATTATAAAGGGAAACACATGGTAACTTATTACTAATGAACTAGGAGTTAATAATGACCTAGAACAGTATTCTAAAGTGAAACACATGGTAACTCATTACTAATGAACTAGGAGTTAATGATCTAGAACAGTATTATAAAGGGAAACATATGGTAACTCATTACTAATGAACTAGGAGTTAATAATGACCTAGAACAGTATAATAAAGGGAAACACATGGTAACTCATTACTAATAAACAAAGAGTTAATAATGATCTAGAACAGTATTATAAAGTGAAACACATGGTAACTCATTACTAATGAACAAAGAGTAAATGATCTAGACAGTATTATAAAGTGAAACACATGGTAACTCATTACTAATAAACAAAGAGTAATAATGATGCTAGAAACAGTATTATAAAGTGAAACACATGGTAACTCATTACTAATGAACTAGGAGTTAATGATCTAGAACAGTATTATAAAGTGAAACACATGGTAACTCGTTATTAACGACTAAGATGTTAGTATGTTCTTCATTCGAATATGAACTATGAGAAAACTGCTTGTTTTTTTATTGTGCTTAAGACAACAGGAACAAGATTTCAGCCTGAATTATCCTTCCTTTCTACTAATAGAAAATACATTGATGATTGGTGAGTGTGGGTGGGCTAAAGCACTAGCTGCCCGCCATTGGTCAAGCTGCTCCATCACATGTTTTATTTCAAACCCCTACAGTTAAAATAAAAGACCACCACCTTTAAGCATGCTGGAGCTGTGTTTATTCTCTAGGCAGACTAACATTGATTGGCAACAACAGAGCCTGCATAAGAGCCTGACCAATAGCAATAGCATATATGCTATGATAAATGGAGTGATAAATGTGATGCTGTGTAATTATATATAAATATATGTTAATAGGCTGGTTATAATACCTGTATAGGAATGTGTTTTATCAGCCTAAACTGCTGTTTTCCAGCTCTGAATCTTATTATATAGAGCATTTAAACAGGAGTGATAGAGAGTGAGACCATTACAGTTTACTCTTCATATTAACCTACTGCTGGAAACTGAGTTACACACTGTGTTGACAAATACGTATTGTATAATTAACATCACTTATATATAAATTGTATTTTATATGTTAGATCAAGTTGTAATTAAATACACACACATAAACACTGTCTGATAGAAACTTGTTCTTCAGCTGTTGCGCTCAGCGTGGAGTGTTCTTGCCTAGTAATAAAGGTACTCAATATAGAGTCTAGTGATGTGGAGTCTAAAACACTAAGCTGGAACTAATTTGACCATACATATTCAAACACTTAATGGTGCATCTGTCCAATCTGGTTTAATAACGAGAAAACAATCTGCCCACAAAAAAAGTCAACTCTTCAGCTATCTAAACAACCTTGCACTCCTAACAAATCTGTACCTCTGAACTTTGTTCTCCTGTGCTCGAGGCGAGGCCACACATTTATGCCCTTGTATTTTTTATGATCGACTCCCCATATAAGGGTGGGATTAAGGTCAAGATATCTGTTGTGTTTGTGCATGGCATAAGCACTTCTAAGAGGTTTTCTACATGTGTGAAGTGCCCCTTCCTCTGTCTCTCTTTGAGGCCTTCCCGCTACTGAATCAGATTAGACTAACGACTAGACATGTTTCGACGTCAGACAGTTAAGAGCAATGATTCCTAATGTTATTTGTAGAATGGACACATGCGTTAGACACAGATTTGTATTTTTTCAGTACGACCAACAATACAAAAACATACGGCGAAAATGTAAGCGGGTTGCTCCAGGGCTGCGGTGCTCCCGGCCACCAGAGGGAGACGACGCCCACCTCCCAGGCCAATCAGCCCAACGTCCTACACCGGCATACATATCAACATAGATCGGTGAAACACTAATTAAACTTCTCACGAACTCTGTTGTGTTGATATTGTGGTGTTTTGGACTATCTTGTTGTTTATTTTTAAGTTCATTATGTTTGTTTTGGGTGTGCGGGTTATGTTGTGTCTGGGATTTGAGTTGTTTTGAGTGTTTTATGTCTGGGGGGGGTGAGCCTTTGTTTAGGTGATCTCTCCCCCATGATTTGAGGCTTTCATGTTTTGATTTGAAACCTGGTTAATAAAAGAACAGCTTGAGTCAGATAAAATGGCTTCACTTGACTGTTTTCTGAACGTCATCAACTTTGCTTTTATAGAGTATATGATGAGCATATAAAGGACACTTTCCACTCGACTATGAGTTTTATTCTTGGCCTGGTACTGGTGAAATTGAAAAAGGGATAATTACCTAATCACATTTCTTACCTTCCGCTTTGGCACAGTTTCCTCTCGTAAAAAACACTTGATACAAATATGACCATCATGCCAAAATAGGTGAACCTTTGATAAACTAATGTTAAATGAGTGCATCTCATTTTTAATTTTGCACTGGAATCTGGATCGTCCCTTGTATCTGTGCTTGTTATCTTAGTTTCCTCCTATTGATGAGGAAGCAAAGATGTGACAATATCTGTGAGATGGAATAATCAATTCCAAACATATTTCCAGAATAGACGTTCCTCACTCACTCATCACTTTCATCACCTGTAACTGGGCTTAAGGGATCTGCTGCTGATAGCAAACACATCACATCCTGGTTTTTAGATTTGTAATTAGAATCTGATGAGCAAAATTCACAGGTGGAGTTCCTCCAAGGGTCCATTCTCAGCCTGTTTTATTTAACATCTACATGCTCCCCCTTGCTCATGAATATTATATCATCTCTTACCCTAAATCCACAGGTAACACAACTGCATAAGTGGCCAACTCACAAGACTACATTTTGTATGTTTCATTGATTAACTCTTTGAAAGAAGTTATTAAAATGAATGGACGTGCCGGATTTCCTACAACTGAACCTGAAAATTGTTGTTTTTTTTTTATTTTTGGCCCTAAAGAAGAAAGTTATGAACAGCTTGACTCTGACACTAAACTACAACCAAGCCAGAACTCTTGATTGTAGTTATGGACCCACACTTCTACAGCCACATAAAGAAAACTACAATTCAAAAAAAAAATATTCAAATATTGGTCAATTGTCAATATTACTCCCATAAGAATGTATTTCAGTCAGATTTTTACTTAGAGTTAAGTACTTGAAGTACTTCTTTTAAAATACTTAATAAAGATACGACCGTTCTCTGTTAATAATCAGTGCATTGTGGTGTTGCTGCTGCCATTTATTTACAGAACCTAATAACTCAACACTGAATTCACTGCCTCCATGTAACTCACCATTAGCACACTGTGTTATTTTGACAAATTAACACAGTTTCTGCAAGGACTTTAACAGTCAGTACATTAACAAGCGATTTCACTAGCATTCTTAGAATGTGTCAGCAGTGGATTCATACGGACACCTGTGGTTCCCTAACTGGTTCCGCACCATTCATGTCCGTGTGTAACAGCACAGTGGATTCTGTTGTGTCCACCATATTCATCAACATTCACAAACATATTATCATACGCATGAACGCGTATTTTCAGATTGGCCGAAAACCAGTTGAGATACGACATCAGGCCTAATGTGACACTAGGCAGGCAATCCATAAGACTCCCATAAAACTTAACGTGACCCGCCTAGAATAAAAACTATAACTAGTACAACACAGACAGCTTCATTTAAAATTTTAACCCGGATTAAAGAATGTTTAACCCTCCAAATTTCATATTTTTTGCTTTCGCTTTAACTTCACCACACATTGTTTTTAACATTTTTTAAAAGATTAAAAAAACATTTTCCGCTGACATTTTGCTCGTCCACCCATATTTTTCACAATACATATCCAATTGTAACAGGTTTGCAATTTTAATGTTATTATTGCTGAACCTTAGATAAGGGTGTGGATTAACACGTATTTATTTGAGTCCTTACATAGACCAGCAAGAGAGAGAACACTCGCACCAAGATGCTTCAGTAGAGGGAATTTTTGGCTAAAGATCAAACTACTCTTTGGACTACATTCAAATATAGACAACAGAAAATAAAACAAACAAAACAAAAAAATGGATAATAAAGTCAAAAGGAACAAAATAGCTCGGAGTAAGTGATTCACAGTTTAAATGGTGTTAGGCAGTGTGGTTCTTGGGAAGCCGCTTGACTTGAAAGCCCTCTAGAGGCTTAATCTAAGTTATGACGGAATCACACTACTAATGGCTGGATTAACCTATTAGAAGTTCCTCTTATTAAATAAATTTGAACTGATGGTTCCAGCTTACGTTGGAGTCTGGGGTTGACTTCAGGAGGGGGCGTCTCGGACAGACTCGTCGAGGCTGGAGCTCACGGGCGGTGGTTCCTCTCCTCGCTGGTCTGATGCTGCGTCTCCGTGCGGGCACGCGCCTCCCCCTCGTGATTGGGCGGAAGGAGGCGTCTCGTTTGGCCGTCGACGGTGGAGCGTTGGGCGGGCCTTTCGATGGTCGTCTGTTCACAGATCAGTGCGTGGCTCTGGTGCGATGCTGGTCCTCCGTGGCGTCCGGTCCGAACCGCTCCCACTCCGCTGGCGAGGTTTAATCGCAATCAGGGTTTCTAGGCTGTGGTACGAAATTTAACTAACTACCTCTCTTAAGCAGATTCAAAAGTTTGTTGGATATATCCTCCCTGTACAACAAGAAATATCCACCTTCCTTCTCTGAGGGTCGGTTTAAATCTTAAGGTGTGTAGATGACAGGCAAGTTCAAACAAACAAAGGTTTCAGATCTGGAAAATTTTCATTCTAATACTTCTGACCTGTCATCTCTGATCAGGCCAGCACAAACTTAGAAATGTAGCTGTCTTCTTATTGAGAAAACGCCAGGACTTCGCCAAAATTTGCGGTGCGGCTCTGGGTTGCTGCTCGGCTGGAGGCTCCTTACCCTTTGGAGTTTGGTGCCAGAGTGCTGATAGGTTCTTCCTCACCTAAGGTTAACTAGCCATTCATTGTTTCCACCTCTGATTGGTTGGTTGCATAATTTTAGGAATGCCTTCCCCAGAATCACTGCTTCCCTTTGTTTCAGCTAGTTTAAAACAAAGAAAAAGAAACATTCCTATATCATCAAATTGGTTTAACTTCAAAATCAAGGAATGAACAATTAGGATATTCAGGCATGTTTGATAGAGAGAGTTTAACCCTTGTTACCTGATACACAATACATTTCAAGAACACAGGTAATATTTGGCCTATATATTCTGAACTGACCCATGCTGAAGAAATAAAATCCACAACGAAAGAAAAGAGGAACAAAGGAAAGAAAAGAAAGAAAACCACATTCAGGATACATATTGGTCAATGGTCTAAACTCATAGCAATTAAATGGTTGGGCTCTGTCTGTTATCAAAGTAGACACTACTTATTTCTAGTCACTTAATATAGAAAAAGATACAGGCAATATTTAGATAATGCAGCATAACAATAAGATTAATAAAACAAGTAGTATTGCTGCAAGATTATATAAATGTTGATAATCAAGCCGACAATGCAAGACGTTTCTTGGGTTCTTTATAACCCATGTCGTTAACGGTTGGGTGTGTTGTGTCTCATCCCTCACCACTTGGGGGTGTTGTAAGCCCCACATCTAAATGGCAATAAAATCTAAAAAGGCTCACTTTTGTTATAGATTCCTCATGACAACCTCGTTCTTGTGTCTCCACACTCGTGAAATGTACCCTGTTGAATGGTGGCCATTACTGTATTGGTGGCAAGGCCCTTTCGGAGGAACATTGATGTCTTAGATGAGTGGGCACGAGAGTGAATTGGGTAATTGTGAGGTGGTGGTGTGTGGATTAGAAAACTTTGCTGTGCTGATTCCATCGCAAGTGATGACTCGATATACAGCGCCTGTATGCCATATGGAGCAAAGGGGGGTTTCTAACCTCCCATAGTGGTCCCATGTAACGTCCTTTTAAGCTGTAAACTTGTTGCCAACTTAATCCTGTTTTTTTATGGCTTCTACGTCAGGCTTGGTGAGCCAAGCTTTTCAGCTCGGGTAATAGGAATGACTTTGCTCAACCAGATGTTGATGTTTTGCTCACAATTATAAAATATCTTAAAATAAATTCTTTTATTACAAAGTTTAGTCAAATCAAAAGCATCATATATGTTTTTCCTAGTACACTGTAAAAAAGTATTTTGTCTGACAGTGGGGGCCCCAAAATTGTCTGTAAAATAAATTACATACATACATGCATCATCTAAACCGCTTCTCCTTCTGGGTCCACGTGGGGTGCTGGCGCCTATCCCAGCTGTCATTGGGCGGAAGTCAGGATACACCCTGGACAGGTCCGCCAGTCCATCGCAGGGCAATAAATAAATTACTTATATATAATATAATTATTTTATATAATTTGTCAGATTAAAAACAGATCAACTGTAAAAAAACTGTAAATAACTGGAATTAACATCTATTTACTGTAATTTACAAGAAATCTTCCTATATTCCATATAATCTTTCACTTGTAAAAATATAAAATGTTATAATACTGTCATACACCTCTAAAAAAAAAAGAATAATTATCTTACAAAATCATAAAGAAGTACAGATAATTACTACTGCTATTACAAAAAGTTCTGTAAATCTAAACAACATTTTACTAAAACACAAAAACATGTATTTACTTTGGGAAAGCCCAGGTTTAATTATCTGAAATTACAAGATATTTTGCAAACAAAACATCAAACTTTTGTTTTTTTCATTTGAAGTACAGTAAATAAACTGTCAAAATGAATTTAATGTTTTAGTATTTTCGTCTTTAAATCTAATTAACTGTATTTATGTCATTCTTCATTTAAATATATAAGCTGCAGAAAAGATAATTCTAACTGACTCACACTGGTTTAGAAAATAAAGGTTCTGTCAGGAACATTTTTTGTTCTTCAAGGTACAAACGTGTAAAATTTTCCCTCAAAGGTTCAACAGTGGTTTTAAGGTCTGATTGTTAACCTTAAATAGTTTTGTTCCGATGTGAAAAGTTCGTATTTGTACCTTTTCATAACCGAATGTTTTAACAGAACAGTAAAAAATAAAAGCTGGGAGGGGAGGGGACGGGGTCAGTGTGGAGTCAGTACAGCTTAGAACATTCATTTCAGTGGATTTTATTAAACATTATTATTATTGTGATTATATCTAGCTACTGTATATTGTTTTTTTTTTCTGTGTGCCTCTATAGTCTCTCAACACTCCCACATCAAAGGTCATGATCTGATACTCCACAAGAACACGGTGCTCAAGTGAAAACCCAGACGTCCTGCTCTCTGCCATGCTGGCCTGTGTTCAGACACTGTGAGAAACCGATGAAGCACTCTTAATATGAAAGTAAAATAATATGAAACATAAAAGGCTGTCACATTTCAGTGCCCTTCTTTTTTTACATAATATACATGAGAAAATAGGAAAGGCTGAGTCAAGCCAGGCCAGCTTCTTCCACTGCAGTAAGTTATAATGTCTTCCTTTTTTATCGGTCTCCCTACTGGTGACAGTGTGTAATAAAGCCTGATGAAAACACATTCAACTGCACTACTGTTCATTCAGAGTCACTTGTCATTCACCATCATCAGCTGTGCAGTAACAGAGTTTTGGCACATTTTGGTTTACAACTCTACATTCTACATTCGGTCAAACACAGAATAGGAATGTAGAAGAAAACACAATGTGATGATATTTATCATGATAAAGTCTTATTCTGATACAGCAATATGCTTTTCTGAATATATTGTATATATCATCCGAATTAAAGAACACTTGCCCAACTGCATGTTTTCGTCATAAAGAGGGCATAATCAGTCCTGTTTTAACTGGATTAAAGCAGTGCACTGTAGGAATGTTGACTGAATTATTGGATCCTAGTTTTGATGGCTTGTTTTAAGATATAACATTAATGCACTGTGTGTCGAAATACTGTTATACATTGGTGTACTGTAAAATTTTTTTAACCTCTTCACTTTTGCCCCTTTTCCCAAGTTTTTGCCTGTATGACATATCCAGATTAAAAGGGTGCGCTGTTTCCACATGCCCGCATACTGTCACGATCTGTTCTTAGAAAGGTGACAGGTTTTTCCCCCACAGTCAGAATAATTTTATGAATTATTGTCACAGAAAGTGACAGAGGCAGGATGGCGGAGTTTATTTCTGCCTGACTCATAATCTCATAAACTGATCAGTGATATTCCCGCACGGCCGGATTTACAGATTGGATAGCGTTTGTTCA